TGCCCTCAGGGGACCCTCCCTACCTTGCAGTTCATGATGCCCTCAGGGGACCCTCCCTACCTTGCAGTTCATGATGCCCTCCTGCTTGAAGCGGGTGTGGAACATGTCCATGGAGAACACCTCGCTCCAGAGGTAGCCGTAGTACTGCGCGTCGTAGCCCCCGGCCAGGTGGCCGAAGGTGGCCGGCATGTTCGTCCCTGTGGGGCGGGGAAGGGAAGGGGGTTAAGGGGAACTCACAGCATGGAAACCACCCCCCCTGCTGTCACTGTGTGGCAGCAGGCACTGCCTCAGCTGGTCACAATCCCAGGGGACGCAGGGAAGCACTTCCCAGTCCTTTCTGCGTGGTTCAGCCCCACTTTTCCTGGAGCCAGCACAAAGTGTCCCACTGAGCCAGCCCGGGAAGAGCCTGCTGAGCCAAGGGTGCAGGCCAGGCCTAGAGGGACAGGAGGGTGGGACACCCATACCTGGGGTGGCAGGGACACCCAGCACCTCTTCACACAGCCGGGCAAACACCTCCACAGGGTCGGCCTTGGTCTGGGTGTGCAGCGCCTGGTCCACCTTGGCCAGGACGATCTGGCGCAGGTTGAAGAGCCCTGTTCCCAAAGGGAGGAGGAGGAGGCAAGCTGAGCTCCTGCTGGCAGGCAGGGCCAGAATCCTGCCTGCAGGAGTGTCACTGAGGCCAGTGGCAGCAGGGCAGGCTGGGGGCCTGGCACCTCTCGTCACTGTGCCACCTCCCAGCCCACGTCGTGCCACGTCACCCTGGCTCTTCCCCCAATCCCCTCGGACCCTCCAGCACCACAGGGAGCCAGGCAAAGCCTTTCCTCTACCCAGCCAGGTCACAAAGCATCCCCCCTTGCCCTCGCCACGCTCAGGGAGCAGCAGCCCCTCGGCAGGGACCCACCCGTGTTCGCCTGCCGGGATTTAATGAGCTTCTCCAGCAGCTCATCCGGGATGGGGCTGCCCGTTTTGTAGTGCCTGGACATGCGCAGCAGCGGCTCCTTCTCCCACACCCAGTTCTCCAACATCTGGGACGGGGCCTCCACGAAGTCCCTCTCCACGTGTGTCCCGCTGAACATGGCAAACTCGGCCTGGGAGACACAGCGAGCTCAGGGACGGGGGAGCGGGGCGGGGGAAAGGTGCCAACCTGGGTCAGCACAGGGAGGCCTCACCTGGGAGCACAGCTGGTGCATGACGTGCCCGAATTCATGGAAGTACGTCTCCACCTCGTCGTGCTGCAGCAGGGAAGGGGCGTCCGGCGTGGGCTTGGTGAAGTTGGCCACCATGGCGGCCACCGAGATCTGCCGGCTGGAG